CTGAAGGAGCGGGAGGCGGAAATGCTCCGTGTACGCAGCACCTTCATCCTCACCACGGCCCCCCGGGTTTCACCAGGACTGCTGTCCTACGGAACCGGGAGGAGACTTTCCAGGAGTCACCAACAGTGCAGTTGGGCGGTGAGCAGGAGCCACCTCAGGGCTCTGGGGCCCAAAGCCTGGACTTCCCCAGCTCTTTCTCCTGGCTGGGTGAGTAAGATGGATCTCACTCTGAGATGTGAGTGAGATGCCTCCCTGCCTCCCCAAAATCTCCACTCCTGAGCCCATATCATACATAGAGACTGGGGTCCCTTTGACAGCCTGGAAAGCCACAAGTCCGCCTGGCCTTTGGAGTGAGGCTGCCCAGGTTCAGTGCTAGCCCTGTGCTCGGCGCCTACAGGGCCCTGGGAAGCCACTGGACCTCAGCAAGGACTCAATCACCTCCCTGTAGCTGGGGTGCAGTGAAGCCCACAGGCTTGGCTCCAACCAAGGGCTCCACAAGTAGCAGTTTCTGCCACTCATTCATTCTCCTTTCCCAGCTAGCAAAGGGGCAGACGCATCTCACACCCCAGCTTGTGTGGAGGGGAATCCATCATTGCCAGGATTAAGTAAATGCCAGGACCCCTGCAGGATGAGCACGGCCAGGGCTGCGGCATGACTTCCTAGGTCCTAGGCACTTTTGCTTTCATGGGCACCTTCCTCCATGAAAATATATATACACACACGTATATACACACATGCACAGACATGTATACAAACACACTCATACATATATACACATATATACACACACACACACACATATACACATATATACACATACACACAAACACACTCATACATATATACACACACATATACACACATATATACAAACACACTCATACATATGTACACACATATACACATGCACACACGTATACAAACACACTCACATATATATAAACATACACACATATATACACACATATATACAAACACATACATATATACACACATATACACACATGCACACACGTATACACACTCATACATATATACATACATACACACATACACACACTCAAATATATACACACATATACACACACATATATACAAACACACTCATACATATGTACACACATATATACACATGCACACACGTGTACAAACACATATATACACACATATAGACACACATATACACACATACACACATATATACAAACACATACATATATACACACATACACATACACGTATACACATACATATATACACACATACATATATACACACACGTATACAAACACATACATATATACACACACATGCACACATATACAAACACACTCAAACATATACACACACATATACACTCATACATATATACACAGGCACACACACATACATGTATACACACACATATATACACACGGGCACATGCACTACATACATACCCTCACATATACAAACAACTAGACATACACACACACATGCACATACACAGGCACACATAAATACACACATACACATATAGACACACATATACACATATACACACACATGTTCACACACATACACATATATTTACACACAGGCATACCCATATACACATACATACACACATATGGTTGTGCAATGGGAGGTGGAGATGCCTCCCTGCCTCCCCAAAATCTCCACTCTTGAGCCCATATCATACCTAGAGACAGGGGTCCCTTTGACAGCCTGGAGAGCCACGAGTCCGCCTGGCCTTTGGAGTGAGAACTCCAAGAACTGCATCATTAGGTGATTC